ATACTATACTTATTAGAACCAGCTCAAAACTAACCACATTTTTTCTAGCCCGGAGGTGACCCTTTTTGAACTATCTAAGAACTATATGAACTGTATCAGAACCATCTAAGCCAGAGTCAGCTCAGAACAAGTTCAAAAGCTCTGCAGAGGGCGACAATTGTCACTTCGTAGGACATTGCCATGTTCAAAAAGACAGTTGAAAGCATTGATTTGGGATAGATGAAGAACTAGTACCGTCCCTTTTCAGGCTAGCTCAGCGCAAGTTCTGAACCAGTTTGATTTGCTGCAGGGTTGTATAAGTTCATGTATGTATGCATGTATGTATGTATATGTACATATGTAGGAGCACCTTTACAAACGCGCACTTTTCATCTTACTATCTCGCAACACGTTTGCACATACATATACATACATATGTATGTACTTTAAGTTTTCCTTAACTTTCTTTTAATTTAATTTCAATGTCTGAAACATGCTTAATCACTTTACTTTAAACTTTTGAGCGTTTTAACACGCTTTTGTTTAACAACTTTAACAAAGTCACACTTGGCTTTCCTTACAACGCCTGATTTGGACTTATTTTTCGTATTTTTTTTTTCTATTCTTTTTGCCCCTTTGCGCACAACATTCTCTCACTCTTCAGCTATCAGCTTTGCAGCATCATTTTCTTTTCTTTTTTTGCTTCTCAATTTTTTACACATTTCTGTATTCTTCTTCTTCGTCTATTTTCCCATTCGCCCCTGCCCTCCAGCGCGCGGCGGGTGCAGTTAATTACATAGCGGTTTGGCTTCGTAATGGCTGCTCGCTGCTTCGTTGCATTGGCAATCGATTTCCGCTCACAACCAACGTTTCTATCTTGCTTTATTGCACTGTTCGTGCTGGAGCATTGCATACTTTTTGGCTGACACGTTTCGCTTGTGTATAATGATTTCCTGTCTGACACGGCGGGCTTAACGAATTTCCCGCTGGCTTAGTTGGGTTTCCAACCAGAAGCGTGCGCTTAATTAATGGATTGTTTATCCCACCATACTATATGCATGTGTACTTATATGTGTGTAGGTTAGTGAATTTTTTATTGCTTATTAATTCAGTGATATTTTATATATAGACAGGCCATTAATTATGGCAAAAGTGCATTTTGCTAGATGCCGAAGACTCCATTTGCATTAAAGTCACAGTTTTATATGAACTTTTTGATAAAAAAGAAGTTAATTAAACGAGAGAATATCTAATCAAGTTCATGAAACTAGCAACGCTTATTTGTAGAAAGTCTAGGCCTATATTCACCTGCCAAACCATTAATTTACCTTCGCTTCGATTTTTTGATGGAATGGCTAAGAAAACGCATGCAGCAACATAGAAGAAGCTAGTCCCGCGAGCTTCTCAAACGATGAGTTAAGCGGTTCTTGCGCTGACTCGATAAGCTTAAGGTTTCATTCATTTCCCTCACACTGTATAATTCTCATCAGACTCAGACAATGATTTCGAAGTATGTATGAAGCTGGAGAATTAATTACAGGAATTATGTGTGTAGTTTATTTGATTTCCTTCGACCAGACAATATACTTGACAGAATTAATCTTTTTTCTTTAATTTTATGGGATTATTATTTTTTAATTCGTTTTGTCTACAAGCATTTTTTATGATTGTAAAAATAAATAAATTATATTTGTACTACGCCTCCGCAGCTCTGTACACACACACACACACACTCGCTTTAAAAAATGTCGTTGCGCGTCATGGCCTTCCTGGATTATCATAAATTAAAATACACTTTGCCTACATACACACATACATACATATGACAGGAAATACATAGATACGAGTATGCATTAGAGTGAGTCGTAAAATTTGGAATTAAAAAAAAAAAAACTTTCAAAAGGCCATATTTCGCGCATCGAAGGTTATGAGTACATTTAAGTGCCATGACTTTTTCCTCAATGGGATATAATTTAACTAAATACCGTTAACGATAAAACCAGAGGTAAAAGAAAAAAGAAAAATTTTGACAATAATACAATCAATAGTACAATTATCGATAACGGTCAACCTATCGATAACGATAAACATATTATTAAGACGAACATAAAAAAATATCGATAGTAAAAATGGCATGAAAAATTTAAATTCACAACAGCTTTCCCAAAGGTATTCCCATCATCAAAATTTTCACTCAGAGAGGCTAACATTTAGCTAATAAAAAAGTAATAATTTAAGTCAACAAATTTATGTGAGATTGCCCCAATTGCTACTTCTTGAGCTAATCTGAACCCCGAAATTTCACTCAATCACAAAAAAAGTGATTATTGAAAACGTCAGAATAAAAAAAAATATTATAAATTTTTTTTGTTTTATCTAAAGAAACCGACCACGCCTAATGTCCAAGTACATACATACATATCATCACTTGAAATGCAAAAAGACGTAACAAACATCGTCACTGAAATGGAAAAGGTCGTGACTAATAATTTTTTTTTTTGGTTTCATAAAACGATGTGAGGAATTGTAATTCGATGAAATCCATCATATCAATCAAAGAGTTAATTTTGAATTTTTTATTACTTACGACTTTTTGCATTTCAGCGATGATGTTTGTTACGTTTTTTTTACATTTCAGGTGACGATATATGCATTTAGTTATGTACGTATAATAATGCACCTTTGTGTCTGCCTTAGTTTAAGTAAAAGCTTTTCTCAAAATTTATTTTTAGATTACGTGTGGGCTGCAATGTATCATAACGCTTTTTTTGTTTAAATGTCCTTGTAGACCATTGTAGTTACGTAGATATCTATCTTCATATGCCCGCACTCACACCCTCACATAACACAAACATTTACGCAAATTTGTACAAAAAAACATACTTACAACAATAACATTTGACTACATACCGCATACAGTCTCCGATTTGCGGCGAGAGTCTTGAGGTTTCAATCAAAGGAAAAGCGCCACTTTTTCATTTTTTTTAACGATCTAAACGGCAGATAGTTTTTATGTGAGGGTGAAAATGTTAACGTGGAAGCTCTGTAATATTGCCTATGTAGTTGTGGTTGTGGAGATATGAGTAAAAATCTAGCTCTTTGATGAGCAGCCAACATACCTACACATTTACATATGTACAGACGTTATGTAAGTATATTCGTGCATAACATGTAGAGGCATACAAAATATTGTACATAGATGGGTACAGAGTCGACGCTTGCATTAGAAATTTTTCGGGATATTTAAGTCTGCGTATTTACAAATTACAAACTGTGCCACACAGGAAAATAACAAAATTTGGATTTTGCGTGAACTAAGGTACGCCCTATTGCACATTACAAAAGCTTGCCCAAATAAAATTTAAAGAAAACTTCAAAGAGATCTCTAACAAGTAAATTTAGTTGTAAAAGACCTTAAAGTTACATACATACATATGTTTGCCAAATAGATCTTTAATTCTATGCCGGTCGTAAACAAGCGGTACAGCATTCTTTAAAGAGCTTGGCGAGCGCGCTTATGAAGTGAGCAACTATGCTTAAAAGCATTTAAATCTTCATACGAGTGCGTGTAGAGCTTTTTTTTTATATTTTAAATCAGCGACGAAGAAATAGAGCTTTTGTTCTAGGCATGACCATACAAAAAAGCGGTGTGCATATACAATCTATGGAAAAGCTGTAAATAAAATCTTAAGAAATCTTAGAAACAGCTCCACCCACAGTATATAACCAGAGAGAGCTTTTCATTTTATGCATTTCAATGTACTTTGGTTCCAGAGAAGCCCTGAAAAAGATCTGCTCGAGGGCTTAATTTTATTCGTGGCTGATATATAAGGGCATACTGTAAAAGCTTTATATTGATATTTGTAAATCACTGATAGGCACTGCCTAGCCCGCGGGAAAAGCTCTTTTAAGCTTTCTATACATTTTGTTTAGGCGCGAGCAGAGTAAAAGCTCTCTTTGCCCAACGCTGGTGTGAATGCACGGCTCTTAGGTAGCATGACCAAACCGTATCCCGAGGGAGAAGCCTTCTAAAGCAGTGATGCTTAAAACAGTACCCGCGGGCGGAACTCTTCAAAGCTCTCTATAGATTTTGTATCCGTGGTGGGCACCGGCCTGCTTTCGGGCAAAGCTCTTTCATATTGGCGCGCACAGAGTAAAAGCTCTATCTGACCATCACTTTCTAAAGATTTCTGTCATTTTTTTTGTAATGATGATAGTCTTGCAGATTTCGAAAGCTCCACGATTACGTACATACATATAAGTACTAAAAGCTTCTATTTGTATTGTAGCTAGAGATAAATGTAAGTCTCTGTGTACTTCTTGGTAAATTGTAATTGTCCAGTAGCTAGATTGTGATTGTGTCTGTACAAAAAAAGAATGCTTTCGCTGTCAAATTATAAATATTTACGCATCTACTTTAATGTGTCTGTGTATTTACAATAATACTTAAAAACTCAATACGACGCACTAATAAATATTATTCACTAAAATTTAATTAAATTTTCTTTCTTCTCCCTCCTCTCACGGCTGCCCAATCAACACCAATTCAAACACCACAGGTCGAATACTACCCCCCACACGAGCGACTGCGTCAACCCATCGCGGCCGTTTGTAAACGCTGTTTCCTACCCTACCGCCCAGTGGTGCACTGGGGCGGTGCTGCCGGTATACGCGGCCGTCTAACAACCAATAAAAATTATGCCTACACTAACACCGATGATGCCACCAGCAGTAGCATACTGACTAACGCGCTGCCGACCACAATTAATCGGCCGCCGATTGCTTATGCCTCAACTGCAAATAGTAATTATTATAGTAATGCGAATAACAGCAACAAAAACAACAGCCGAAAGAGTACATTACGAGCGCGTGCCAGAATGGCGGGTGGCGGCGTTAGCCGTACTAGTTCGAGCGTAGGCAGGCAACATCATTGGGGTACACCGC